CGCAAACATGTACAATAGGGACATGCAGAGGGGACCACGCCTCCCATCTCTGAGCCCATTGTTTGTTTTTCCACGCCGCGTTCTAATATTCCAGCTATATCACAGCGATCTGTACATAATCGATACTGGACCAGACAATCCAGTGAATGGCGTTATGATCAGCTATCAACCAGTTGTGATAGAACGGTTTGATCACCTCGCTGTTTCATGGTTCACTATGGTGAGTGTTATATGTTACACTGTGACCTGACCGCTATGGATTTCTGGCAATATAAGTGAAGCATTCTATCGCCTGTTTAGATTATGTTACCATTGTCTGGAGCCGTTTCACCATTTACTCCTTATTACACTGAGACTGACAAACAATCGACATTAGAAACTTATATAATTATTATGGATATTATAAACGATACTGATATCATAAATTCGATTTTTCGTTAACTTCTTTGAGAGGCATTTAGAAGTTGGAGCAGTAAGGAAGGATAACAATAAATGGAGAACAACTTCTTTATTATGAAATACACAATGCCATTTTAGAAAGTGGTCATATGTAACATATGTTATATATTAGAAAGGGTAATCCCAAATATAACATATGTTAGACCTTTTAATGCTGTGAGAGCATATATTTTCGTTACTTAGATTTAAATTGTCGAAAGGTGTATTTTGTGATAGAAGTATTTTTACATCAGATTCGATAAACTCGATAAAGTAACATTAGTAAATCTTCTTAAATGTTATATAATCAAAATACAGATATCATGTTTTTCTCTGAAAGTAACGGTGAGGTTTTGTAATTAGAAAAAACTGTCTCGATAGACATTGTCAGTAATTCCTACACAAACACACACACACACACACACACACACACCACACCCACCCACACACACATATATATATATATATATATAATATATATATAGACAGAATAGTGTTATACCCGCCCGTACAGTATAAGCTTTTTCATTAATACGCAGTGATTTAACAGACAACTGAATGGAGAGTTTTTAAATGAGAACACATGGTTTTTACAGAGTTTTTTAAATTTGAACACAACAGAGCGCTGAATGGTTTACAGAATTTTAAATTTGAACACAACAGAGCGCTGAATGGTTTACAGTGTTTTTAAATTTGAACACAACAGAGCGCTGAATGGTTTACAGTGTTTTTAAATTTGAACACAACAGAGCGCTGAATGGTTTACAGTGTTTTTAAATTTGAACACAACAGAGCGCTGAATGGTTTACAGTGTTTTTAAATTTGAACACAACAGAGCGCTGAATGGTTTACAGTGTTTTTAAATTTGAACACAACAGCGCTGAATGGTTTACAGTGTTTTAAATTTGAACACAACAGAGCGCTGAATGGTTTACAGAGTTTTTAAATTTGAACACAACAGAGCGCTGAATACAGTGTTTACAGAATTTTTAAATTTGAACACAACAGAGCGCTGAATGGTTTACAGTGTTTTAAATTTGAACACAACAGAGCGCTGAATGGTTTACAGTGTTTTTTGAACACAACAGAGCGCTGAATGGTTTAAGTGTTTTAAATTTGAACACAACAGAGCGCTGAATGGTTTACAGAGTTTTTAAATTTGAACACAACAGAGCGCTGAATGGTTTACAGAGTTTTTAAATTTGAACACAACAGAGCGCTGAATGGTTTACAGAGTTTTTAAATTTGAACACAACAGAGCGCTGAATGGTTTACAGAGTGTTTTTAAATTTGAACACAACAGAGCGCTGAATGGTTTACAGAGTTTTTTGAACACAACAGAGCGCTGAATGGTTTACAGTGTTTTTAAATTTGAACACACCAGAGCGATGAATGGTTTACAGTGTTTTTAAATTTGAACACAACAGAGCGCTGAATGGTTTACAGAGTTTTTAAATTTGAACACAACAGAGCGCTGAATGGTTTACAGAGTTTTTAAATTTGAACACAACAGAGCGCTGAATGGTTTACAGAGTTTTTAAATTTGAACACTTTTTCACAAAAAAGAGCGAGTTTAAATAACAATTGTTTTCATGTTTTCAATGTGAATTATAGATACCATGCATATCAATTTTCACTTCATCTTTGTTTTACCTGAAGATTTGGTCAATAATATTTTAAAATATAATTTAATAATCAATATATTAATTATTGGTATTATATGTAAGGAATTAGATGATAGTAAAACGACGTCACATGCACAAAGTCTTGCCAAGTTCGAGCTATGTATCGAGTGAAAATGCCCACTTCATGTATTCTTCAGTATTGTTGAGACAAACATGACTGTCAACTAGGTATTTTAGGCCATGAAAAACTCTTCAAGAATTTCATCACACAATCAATTATTATTTCTCTTCAAAGCCGCTTGAGATATGAAAAAATAATACGATAGCACGACAAAATTATTCGCTTAAGCTAAAAGCATTTGATCACAAACAGAGAGCGTCACTGAGAATAAAAAGTACTGTTTAAATTACTAACAACGTTATTGACTCAGTTTCACAGGTTATTGGATTGGTATGACAGACTGGCGCCCGGAACATAGCCGGAAATGTGGACTTCATCGTTCAAATACATAGTCGCCACTCTGTTTACATGGTGTGCAGTATTGGAACAGACAAACATTGCTTTCCCTGCAACTGCTCCAGGATCAAAGCTGTTGGGAGATCTTTAGACAGATGAAGAATATTGATGCGGACATCAATTGATTCAGTCTCTGTCTCTGCAAGAACTAGTGTTTGCATCTTGATCTGGGTAGAGGCACATGTAAAAACACAGTGAAACTGACATATTAACAAGATGATAAAACAGAGACTTGATGTGGGATTCTTTCACCAAACTTGCTATTCAGTTTAATAATTACCTTGTTTATGATTTTGCTACGACAATACAGTTCGCAAAATATTTTTCTCTCAATTTCTCTGATGTATTCGTTGGTGGTTCAATTAAAAATAGAAAAAAAATCCTTCCCACATCCATAAGAAACATTTTCTAAAAGCTGAGTCGATTGTACAATTCCGACTGTATTGACCCGCAAGGATCCGGGTTAGAATTGGTCTTCAGTAACCAATGTTTATTGTAAGAGGAGACGAACGGGATCGGGTGGTCAGGATGGCTGACTTGGTTGACACATGTCATCGGTTCCCAATTGCGTAGTTCAACGCGCATGCTGTTGATCACTGGATTGTCTGGTCCAGACTCGCTTATTTACAGACCGCCACCATATAGCTGAATATTGCTGAGTGCGGCGTAGAACTAAACTCACTCACTCAGTCCGACTATATCATGAAGTGTTTTTTGAACCAGTATCAAAATAGATGTCCGCGAGTGAGCGTATCCTGCTCCAGTGGTGGAACCCGTCATATACAAATGCTAAGGCCAGGCCAGTTGTTCAGTCAATATATCCGCTCCCAAGACATCATGTGATTGATCTGTTTGAATATATATGCCAGACCTGCAATTAACAGTTCACTCTGTCGGTCAGAAGATCCGGGTTAGAATATTGATCTTCAGTAACCTATGCCTGTCATAAGAGGCGACTAACGGGATCGGGTGGTCATCGTAGCTGACTTGGTTGACACATGTCATCGGTTCCTAATTGCGCAGGTCGATGCTCATGCTGTTGATCACTGGATTGTCTGGTCCAGACTCGATTATTTACAGACCGCCGCCACATAGCTGGAATATTACTGGCGTTTAGTAGCTAGTGTTGCCCCGAATCGTTCCTCATACAACTGATAATGTAATCAAGTGTCTGTCAGAATGTCTGCATACGGGAGCATGTCCTACTTGGTTTTTGAAGAATACAAGCTTCGTTAGGCGTTGCATACCCGAACCTGACGGGGCCACCCTCTCGATATCTGTTGATGTTGGAGATACAGCTTAAGGGCTATGTGGACCAACATAACATATATTTCCTCGTAACAAACCAATCGAACTTGATAGGAATTACGAGGTATTACATCGTAAAAATAATAATATAAAGTAGACGCATTTATAATAAATATTCATTTGGATTTACGTATAATTTGAAAATTGATGGGAAAACAAAAATAAATATGAATCACTTTTGTTTCATGATATGGACTGAAACCTTTTAAAACTTTTTTAAAAACGCTTTTTCTGAAAGATGAAATAGTTGTTCAATACAACAGAAGATCAACACAGAATGTCCACTTATTTAATAGAACTAAATCTGTTTAAGGTATTTGAGAGCCTACATATATAAGAATTAAATCGTATTTTCCAGATGACAAGACAAATCCTAAAACGGAGCCATACATGATTTTGGAACTCAAAACTGTTGCCATCAATTTCAAGTACAGTACTTCTAAGATTTTGTCTTATGATGTTATTGCCAAGGCATTTTATTATATAGGGTCTCCAAATTGCAATGGTTACATTTAGAAGAGACTGTCTTATCAATGATACTCCTGTAGGCATTAAGCCAACAGTGTCCAAGTTGGGTTCATCATCACGCATTTCTTTCAACGGGGAATTTTATCACGAAATTTTAAAAAATGGTCTTAGTCTGTACATATGTCGGCCAGCAGTGCCAGATCCCTCTTTAGTTGCCAACTCTTTGAAATAGATTTCAATGAAACAGTTTACAAGTCTTTAGGGTTGGGTCGAAAATCTTATAAAACAACGTAGATGCTGCTGAGGCCATTACCGCCCGACCCAAAAATTCCACCCGATTTTATAAAAACAAATTACACTAGAGAAAATGCAACTTTGAACAGTGCTTGAAGTTTTCACACTTCTAAGTTTTGATTTTCAATCGGAGAAAAGGTGTAAATTTCCACAGAAATGAAGGTTTTTTTACGGAAGCGTAGTAGGGCCACGGTGAAAAATAATTCTGGTCTTACTATCTCCTACGTAGGACTTACTATCTCCTACGTAGGACTTACTATCTCCTACGTAGGACATAATATCTCCTACGTAGGACTTAGTATCTCCTACGTAGGACTTAGTATCTCCTATGTAGGACTTACTATCTCCTACGTAGGACTGACTATATCCTACGTAGGACTTACTATCTCCTACGTAGTACTTTATATCTCCTGTAGGAAATGATCGATATACGTTTATATACGTTTATATATTTGGGAAACATAATGTATGGAAAATGAATATTGACACCATTCAACACCCAACTGAAACGAGTGAGTGATTAGGGCAATACATATTATCAAGGGCTGAATAGACCCCTCGGGCACAGAGGGCTTATATGAGAAACATTAGAGACATTATTCGGCTGAACTTTTTATTTCACCATTACCATCATTTGGATAAACATACTGCCATATTGAAGATCACGCTGCCCAACATGTCTTGCAACAAACGTCAAACAGAGCTTCTGAGGTGAGACGTCTTCATAATCGACCATTCGACCTTTTATTACAACGGTTTTAACCATGATACAACATGTTTAAGGGCAGCGTTACATTACTGTTATCAGTAAATACATCATCAACAATTCACAGCAGTGAACCATTACAATGATCCCCAGACAACTTTCTAAACCTGAAACCTGTAACCATATAAAAAAAATAAATAATCACTGTTGTGAGAGTTCATGTATTTTCAGTCACCTCCTCCACATCCCCCACCACACCCACCACCTCCTCCACACCCACCACCACAGCCACCACCTCCTCCACATCCACCGCCACCTCCACATCCACCACCCCACACGATGAACTGCCGACATAGTCACTCCCACCGACGTAGTCCATCCCTCCCCCACAGTAATCATTCGCTCCTGAATCTCCACCATCATCATAGCTCTCGCTACAGTCGGCCATAAAACTATCCATCCCCATCGTACAGGGGTCATCAAAGTCGTCATCACAGCCAGCATCAAACAGATCCACGTCAAATGACTCTGTTGCTGATTCGTCATCGTCTTCTTCTTCTTCTTCTTCATCGCCACTCTCGTTGTAAGCACGCTGTCCACTTTTCTTTGCAATTTTCTTGAACAATGCAGTTCTTGTTTTTCTGTCGTCTCTGTAGGAAGTCACTAAATAATGGTTAGATGGACATTCCTGAAGGACACCAGCCGCCATCAGGAAGGGGACATTCTCACAAGGAGCTGCAGAAACACCACGATCTAGCTTCCTGCCATAGTTCGGGGACAATCCAGTTTTCCATGCTTTCGACCTTGGCTGACAGAGAACATGCAGGACACTGACGGACAAAGCCAGGGCAACTTGCTCAGCAGCCACGTGGTGTTTGTCCAGGAAATTGATACTTCTTGTGCTGCACTCAATACCGTCAAGTTTAAAGGTGAACCTCCCGTCAAGGTACTGCGTCATATGCTTCTTTGTCAAGGTTTTTGTTGAGAACTTGTAGAAGTTGATATCAAGATATCCACAAAGTACCTGGGTTCTCTTCAGAGTCCTCGAATACCCTACAGATTGGAAATAAATATCATGGCATAACTGAAGTGTTGTTCCATAGTATCAAATTCAGGTAATATGGTAGGTACACCTGCAGAATACCGGATACCTACCAACCATATTCTTTGTTAGCACGCGCACTTCCTATTATAGGGAAGCACGAGCTATATTATTCGAAACAATAAGCGAGCATTAAAATGAAAAATAGACATTGAAATCGGATTGATTGAGACGACTTCCGGTTAGTAAAACTAACCAACAATTTTTAAAATGAAAGGTAAGTTATCACAAATAAAAAATATATGCGCCTTTGAAAAAACCGGACCTACGGAATTCTGGGAGTTGGAGCGAATGAGCGCGGGAAATTTCTGAAAGGTAAGTGTTCAGTGATTGGTCAGTTTGTGTCTACGTCATAGCCTAGTAACGGCCGTATTTGGAAGTCTACAACTACTACTCGGCGTTCAGAAGGTGCGATTGTGGGATGTATTCAAGTTATCGGAAGACAAAGTAGAACTTCATCGATTTTTAAGAAACAAGGGACTTTTTGGAAACTGGGACGGGAAAACATGCGGTAAATGTTGTATTGGGAAATTTTATTTGTGTAAAGATAAAAGCTACAGCAAAGACAATTTGTGTTGGAAATGTAGCAAGAAATCGTGCGGCAAAAAACTGTCTATTCGCCACAATTCGTGGTTTGAAAACAGCAAATTAGATTGTGGCAAAATGTTATTGCTCACATATTGTTGGATTTTTAAGTTGTCTCAAGATTTTGTACGTCGGGAACTAGACATTTCGTCTTGCAACACTTCTGTAGACTGGTACCACTTCTGTCGCGAAGTTTGTGTTGTTGTGGCAGATTCTGACAGTGATAGGATCGGTGGGGAGGGAAGAATAGTGGAAATTGACGAATCAACGTTTGGAAAAAGAAAATTTAATCGAGGAAAAAGGGTTGACGGTCAGTGGGTTTTCGGGGGAATCGATCGGGAATCCAAAGACTGTTTTTTTGCATGTGTGGACAAGCGTGACTCTGAGACACTAATTCCGATAATAAGGAAATACATCAAACCAGGCACCACAATAATAAGCGATTGTTGGAAAGCCTATGACTGCTTGAAGCATGAAGACTTTCTCCACTTGAAAGTGAATCACTCGATCTGTTTCAAGGACCCCGAGACGGGAGCACACACTAACACCATTGAGTCCTCTTGGGGTGCTTTGAAAAGATCTCTTCCACGATCAGGCACTACTAAGGGGTTGTATTCTTCATATTTTGAAGAATTTTGTGTAAGAAGGAAGTACTTAAGTAACAGGGAGGACATGTTTATAGCTTTCTTGGAGCTTATCAGTCGTGTATATAAACCCCATGACAGAGATGATGAAATTGTGCATGTGAGACGCCCCTTCGCTCCCCTGCAACCCGATGCTGACGACAGTGCTGACGATTTCGTTCTGTGAAGGTAAGCATCATATCTAATGCTGACGACAGTGCTGACGATTTCGTTCTGTAAGGTAAGCATCATATCTAATGTCTAATCTAACCCTAAACCTAAACCCTAATCTAACCCTAAACCCTAACCCTAAACCCTAAACCCTAATGTCGAGTATGCAACATAAAGAAAACGCCGTTACTAAGGAACTCAGTTGCGCACATTTTGTGCGCAGTTCTAAAATAAGCTTTCAAAGATGGCGGAAGGTATCCGGTATTCTGTAGTCTTGCCATATGGTACACCCGGCCTTATCACCCACAGTGCATATCTTGACTGTGTAGAACATCAGTGCATGCCACCCTCCATTAGACAAGGGGGAAAATGTTCTTGCAATTGGTCAGTGGGCATGTCGACTGTATGGGTCAAGCGGTTGGGTAAACCTTGTTTCTTTTAGTAACATGATACATTCTGTGGCTAGTTCCATACAAATTAATGGATAACAAGTGACATGAAAAACTCAAGGAAATGGAAATGGGAACTACAGTAACAATTAAAAAGACTACATAACTGACATACTTGAAATTGGGATGGATCTTGTAGCGGGAACCCAGTTGCCGGTAACCGAACCCCAATCTCCTCTACTGTTTTTGATCAACATCGCTCGTTGTCCTAACTTTGGGATTTATAGTCGGCAAGTCCTGAAATAGAACACATCGGAACAGATTCTGTCAAAGAACGCTGCAATATCTGCACGCATCGCCAATCTTTATAACCAACTCGCATCCGATTATCTTAATATAATGTTCAGATGACCTTGGAGCCATAATCGTATGTATGTGTTCCTTTTAGGTGCGTCAGAATTCGCAATGATTGTGATGTTTCTAGACCGGTCAGCACCATACCAGTGCCTGTGTTTTTTGGAACATGTTTAATGTCTACAAAATAATGATGTCTCCCTTATTCAGAAATTAGTTAAATCAGCTGTTATCGTTGGTCCCCATACGGTCCCTGATAAATTGTTTTGCAATACTAAAGTTAGGATATATACTTTTATTATCCTCCATTACGGAGAGCTCGTACAATGAGAATGATAAGATTACAACAAAATACAATGGGAATTATAGGATGACATCAGAAATAGAGAGTGTTTGTTCGTTACAAACAGTTAGTTTTTCATGCAAACTTTGTGAGCAGCGGGAGATACCTCGTATAAAAAGACATCTTTTCCCTTTTCGCTAATTTTGGTGGTTAACAAAAACTCTTCTACGTGAATTCCGATTATATCATTAGCGTGTTTCGATTCATTACAAACCAGTGATGACACAAGCTGGGCATATCTTTTTCCAACCGATGGCCCTCGTCACAAACTTATGGAAAGTCAAACAAATTGTTCACGAGAACAAAAACCACGGTTACACCTGTTCAGGCTAGCTGACTTGGTTGCCACACGTCATCACATTCCACTTGCGTAGATAGATGATCATGATGGGCATCAGTAGATTGTCTGGTCCAGACTAGATCTTTTACACCCCGCCGTCATATAGCTGGCAATTGTGTAGCTTTAAACAACAAACAAACTAACAAAGGTTAACTTACGGAAGATGAATCGATTGCTTCTGGTGAAGGAAGTTGGTCTGCACCGATGAGATAAGCAAACGTGACCAGTCTTTCCTGGTGGTACACAAAAAACTGATGACATCATCAGATCCGTGGAGTGAACAACTTTGCATGTAAAAACTGTGTTCTTTTCCGCATCGTTAAGTCTGGAACGGGTAAAGAAAATAATAATAATAATAATGTGTCCATTTATATAGCGCCAAACTCCACACTAGGTATGCTCATAGCGCTAACAATCAAAGCACAGCACATTATTATCCCAGATAACCCAAGCTGCCTGTTAAGCGCTAGAAGGTTATAGTCATATGACTTTTTTCCACCGGGTATCCATTTTCCTGCTGGGTGAACAGAGACAATTTTGAACAAACTCACTTGCCTAAGGTGAGACCACATGTGTCACATGTGCTTCGTTGTGGGGCAGGACTCAAGTCCTAGAAACTCTCAGGAGTCAAGCTGCCAAACACGGTCACCCATCCAAGGACTCTCCGGGCTCGACGCTGCTTAACTTCACCGATTTGTGACCTGAGCTTTGAGCACAGGACCACGCACCACCACTGTCTACATTTTATGTATAGAATGAAAGGATTGAAAGAAACCCCACTGCGACTGAAGAATACAACACAACGGTATCAGCATTATGTTTACGTGACTGATTTAAATGTTAAGTTTACGTAGGCAGACTGTCAGGGGGTGTTTCCACAATAATGACCGAGATAAGCCAGGAACTCATACATAGGAACACCCTTCAAAGGCTCGAGTGAGTTTGGTTTAAAGGCGCTTTCAACAGTATTAAATCACGGTGAGTAAGCTTAGTTAGAAAAAGGTTAAGTGTCAATACCAACTTTGGTTAAAAGCACAGGAGTGACGCTGTCAAACCTTGTACCATACTCGAGGAGGAACGGGATTCGAACCCGTAAAGCAAACTGCAGGATTAACGTCCTGTCGACAAGAACCACTTACTTGTGTGTTGCCATGTGGAATCTTTCTGGAACACCTTTTACTGGATGTGGCAGTGGTACAGGACCCCATGCTTCCTCTCTCGGTGACAGTATGCCGTCCTTATACGGCTTCCAAGGTCCGTAATGCAATTCTAAAGTTGCCTTGGGCCGACACATCTCTCCTTTACACGTCAATATGATGGGCGATGGGTCCAGTGTTCTCTCAGCAGAAACTGAATATGTACAACCTTCAGGGGTCTCAATTAATGACAGGCAGTCAAGTGTTGCCTCTCCCAACACTACTTCCTTTTTGAAGATACCATACCCTGATTTTCCGATTAACTTAAAGTGGATTAAATCGCATTTGTTGGTGAACATCTTCCCTTGGAAAAGATTAGTCCTCTTCCAAGTCATGGTATCTTTGTCAGTCCAGGTCTTTGTGCTGTATGTTTCCTTACTCAGCACCACCTCTTCGTCTCGTAAAACGACCACCTCTAACTTTGCTGAACGAGCCCATGTTGGAAGTCTATCTATTTGAAGGGACGTGAGCTTCACAAGAACTTCTACCACACCTAAAGTCTTTGTTTCTCCCTCTGTCAGCCGATACAATTGTCCCTTTCGGTCTTCACCTCTGTACATAGCACCAGGGTAGGAAAAGCTGTCATCAAAAGCATTTTTCCAAAGGGAGGCTGTCAACTTCGTGGCATTGGTAAGCTTGGAGTTTTGTGATCTGTCGTTGACGCTGTCATCATGACTCAGGACCTTACCGAGGATTCTCTTAGTATCAGACAGATAGGCGACCGGGTCCAGCTGATGGGTGTGCCAGACCAGATCAATATCAAAGGTGGGAGCAAGGAAGGATTCGGGGTTGCTTTTCAGGAGGAACAGAAACTGTGTATATCTCCTCACGCCATTTTGCAGGTAGGTTTCGTTCCTGTAATGAGGTAAGGATACCTGATAGAAAAACTGCTTCTGCCTTGCTGAGGCTGAGACAATATCATAGCTTAGACTAGACTCAAGGTCACTTCCTACAGCTATTCCTTCAGTCCCTGCAAGGAAGGGTGTTTCCGGATACTCCTTTTCCCATAGTTTCTGTGACTCGAGCACGTACTTCTGCCTTTCATCAGCATCAAACAGTTTGTGTGGAACCAAAACACCGACCATGGACAAGCAGTCTTTCTGATATGACACTGGGGACAACATATGACAGTGCCAGACCCACTCAATGTCCAAAGGGGCCGCCAGGAGTTCATGGATGTGTTTGGATGCTAGAGGCAGCCAGTATCGTTGGTAACGGTCTATTGCTCTCATTAGAACGGGGCCTTCATAAAGATGGCCGTGACTGTCCACTTGTTCCAGAAAGTTGAGATGGTTCTGGATGGCTGTTATGGCAACATCTACATCCATGGCATCAACGGATTCCACTGGGGAAGGAAACATGACAGTTAGTCATCTAATACTTTGGAGGGCTTCGGATGTAAAAAAATAATTTGTTCGAGACAACAGTGAGGTTGTGCATAATGATATTTAAAATAATTACACTAAAAAATTTCATATGAATATTAAAATTCGTACTTAAAGTAAGCACGTAGACATTGAAGTTCAAACTATAAACATGGATATGAACACTAAAATTCATCAAATGGATTCTGAAAATATAATCATACAAATCAAGGTCTTACGGCGTTTCTGGGGATATTTTACGCCACGTCGGAAGTTTGGGATTTTACCGCACCATTGAACAATATTTTTAGCAAAGCATGTGTCATGCTGATGTTGGAGAAAACTGATACAGGTCTTGGATTTTTACTACTCTGGTGAAACCCACGACCATATGGGACAGGAAAGCCTAGAAACATAGTCCGGGCGAATATGATCCGAAACCACAATCACAGGTTAAAATGTCAGTGAACTACATGTTCCTTCTTGCTGGTGAGTAAGTTTAGTTTTACGCCGCTTTTAGCAATATTCCAGCAATATCACATCGGGAGACACCAGAAATGGGCTTCACACATTGTACCCATGTGGGGAATCGAACCCCGCGTGACGAGCGAACGTCTTAACCACTAGGCTACCCCACCGCCATCTTGTTGGTGATCGTTGGCTACACCTACTCCTCGCGACATTATGTAGGAGAGGGCAGTACGTGAAATACTTACTGCTCAGCGTGATGAGTGATACACGTTGTATTGGTTCACGCCAGGTCCTACAGGTCCTAGATGATGTCTTCTTTCAGGCAGTCAACAAACTGGGAATAAAACAGGTATCCTACATCATCACCATCATCACCATCATCACCATCATCATCCTCGTCATCCTCACCATCATCATCATCATCATCCTCGTCATCATCATCATCATCCTCGTCATCATCATCATCATCGTAATCATCATCATCATCATCATCGTCGTCGTCGTCGTGTCATTGTCTTTAAATGATATGTATGTATGTATGTATGTATGTATTTGTGTATGTGTGCATATGCATGCACGTAAGCATTTGTGTATGTATGTGTGTGTGTGTGGATGAAACCACGTAATCATTTGTGTATGTGTGTGTGTGTGTTTGTGTGCGGATGCATGGATGTATATATAGTGAATTAAAATGTTGGTGACAAGAATTCATACCTGTACACAAATATATAAAATAAATAGATAAAATATATACTTTTGTTCAGCCCCACGTGTAGCTAAAAAGTAGTAATAGTGAAGATGGCGAAAAGGATGGCAATAATCACCTACACCAGCAATAGTCAAGCCGGCCAAACAGGCCCAGGATCTCCTCGTGGTATTTACTAACAACACTTGAATATCAGATTAACTTAGAACTATAGTCTGTTTGTAATACAAACCAATAATAGTGATTTGAACTATGATCGTTTGTTAAACAACTTTGTCCTAAGTTGAATAAAATTCTAATATTTTAATGTTCAATTGGCAAGGTAAAATCATGAGGATTCGCAATCTTAATTTCACTTTATGTGATTTACCTTTTTATTTAAAGTGAAATTCATCGGTACGTTTTCACTGCAAACAGACTAAACCATACCTGCATATTCACGTAATTCCGGCAATAGACTGGGCGGATAAAGAGGGGTTGGAGAATTCATTACTATGGAACTAGTCTTAAGTAACTTTAATACCTGATGTAATATAATTTAAATGTTTTGTGATTTACTTGACTAAATAACATACCAGCACGATATATAAATCTCAGTGCTAGCACATACTCCCGACAGCGTACCTTCAGCCCAACTCCCTACACGGTTCAGTTGCCAAATATACTTACAAGTTGAACTCCCGATGACCTTTGATCAATGCAGTCACAGTACTGTCTGTTACAGGACCCTGCTCGTGTGTACAAGCGATGAAACGTCACAGAAGGGCGTCTATTTGTTTCATAGTGGGATCTGCGATGAACAGTCAATATCTGTTCACGAGATACGGTGTAATGAATGCGGTATATCTTCTCCGGTCTGCTGCGCTCTTCTCACATTCCTCGCATCGCCAACTGCGTCTCAATTACAGGTTAATCAGATCACATTTGCGTTATGTAAATTGGCTAGGTCACGTCGACATGGCGAGTGCAGTGTTAGTGCATAACGAACATATCATATACACCACTATGTCTTTAGTATGCGGGCGGGTTGTCTCCGCTTCACGAGGGTTGCCATGTCAATAGCGATGTTGAAATGGGTCAGTCGAGTACAGTAAACAGGTAAAGGGAGGTAATCCTTACCTTGCCTTGTTAGATTTTCTACACCGCGACTGTTCGCCTGCGATTGAACATCGTTGGAGACATCGTTCTAGTCTGCGGGATCGTCGTGATTGTGGTTGTGTGTCTCTTTGAAAAGATCATTTGTTGGTAAATGTTGGTAAAAATAACTCGTACCTCGATATATTGGGCGACTTTTAAAAAGTTATACGGGTTATTTTTGAGACTGATTGTGAAACTTTGTCAATTTGGAAAATCATGTCAGTGGAACAAATCAGCCGACTAGACCGGCAATAGGTAATGATACGTTATTACTTTTTGGGTCGAATAACTGATTGTGAATAAGGATATTCACATTTTCAGAACATGGTAGGATGTATGTCTGTGCAAATGTACACCTGTGTTCATTGAATCAATTTCACAAATGGTCAAATAATCAAATTTAACACCAGTGGTTGCACTTTTCAGTTAACACTGAAAACAGACTAAGTATACTTTCTTTCGCCCCTCAGTATATTTCTCCCATATATTAGTGAACAGCCGTTCGACTGCAGCTGAGTTCTGAACTATCACCCTACGGACTCATACTGGGACTTGTCAAGGCGATATCATGTAACAAGTAAGATTAACCCGAGAAGACTGTTATTATTGGGTAATACAGTCAGGTATAGAGTATCACAGCCATTGTTTCACCAATGTGATGAAATGTGAGCAATGACACAACATATTAACAGCAGTGTTTTCGTGACAATAGTTAACCGCGTGTACGTACACCCAGATAAGCGGGTGGTACCAAGCGAGCATCGAAAAATCGGAATGAGGGCCGCAGTGCCACCGGAAATCGTTAGTTCAGTAGCGTGTATTTGGTACAGTATTGACACAGATATTTTCTAACAGATTCCATTTTGCATATACCATCATGCTACTTAATGTGATACTGCATAAATAAAAACAATCCATTCAATAAATTATTCAGTCAGCAAATATTCTGAATGAAGAAGGATGCTGTTACTATATGTTCGACTATCCTGTTCACGCATGCAGCTGACGCTATGGTGTCTGATGCAAATAAGGGGTTGATATATCGACTTGGTACAACCCTCCATGACAACGTGGCCAGCTTTCACAATCCTCGCTTTAGTTGAATTGAATATATTTAATGTATATTTATTGTACGCGACATTCAGAATATGAGGGCAGAATATGATCCAATATTTACTGATCCGACTGATACCTACGAAGTGAAGGTGGCTCACATTTAACGCGGGACCAGACGAGCAGGGGTAATTTGATATGTATGTCTTCTATACACAAATCCACAATGCATTCCATACGTGAATCCACAATACATGCCATTTCAGCTACTCGTGTATTCGTCAGTACAAGGGTGGAAGTGGGCGTTGACCTGTCGTCTGCTGTTACAAAGTAAACTATGCTTTGCTGGTAGAAGGGAATGACATATCGTGTGTCAGTACAAAAGTGGTTGTACCTGTTGTGTGTTTGTACAAGTGTGTATTTCATCTGCATGTACAAACGTGAGCGATCTGCTGGTGCATGGTGGGCGTGTATTTGTCGTCTGCCATCTTAAGAGTATCACACTGTTTTGATTAACCTTGAATCATGGTGAGCTAAGGGACTACTTACTAACAACATCGGCAAGTTTGCATAAGAAATCCATTTGACGCCAGACGGGTAACTTCGGTGGTGAAACGTTATTGGGGGAGGAGAAGACGTCGTATTGAAGGCCTACCGTGGTATGTATATTTCTCCATATACGTGTAAGTTATTATGTGAAGGGTACAGCGTCACCTAGCGGCATGTGATGTCAACATTATTGCAGCTCTCTGACTGTGGTCTGTTAAACATTGAGTCCGGGAGAGACTCACATCGATCTACGCAAGAGGCAGGGACATGCATCAAACCACGGCCGAAAACCTGACCACTGATCCTGTTTGTCATCTCTTACGACATATATGGAAGGCTGAAAATCTATTTTATGACGAACCTTCTAAATATGATACTTTTGACATGTAAAGGAATAATTTTATTTGAAGGCGAAGGCATAAAGCAGTCCTCCTGACTTTCATCTCTCAGCTTGTAGGCATCTTTTTATCTGCAGTATGTACTTAGCTTATATCTTACAGTAAGGTAATCAGTTTAAAAGTCACAATTTTATGGGGTGGGGCTGATTCACCAGCCGCATAAGGCAGCTTATGTTTGCATAACAACATGAGCCAAAGAGTCATCAGGGTGCTAGGCCGGTGTGCATGTGACGTCACTGACAGGTTGTCTATATCAAAGCTCCTATTTCACGGCTTATTTCACAACAGACGCTCGCGGTTGTAATTTGTTTCTTTGTTGTTCAACGCCGCACTCAACAATATTCATTTTCTATGGCGGCTTACATTGAAAGCTAGGGCTGTGAGATAACAACATACCGATATTCTACGGACAATTTCTTGACACGTAAACGAGGCAGTTCATTTGCGTCACCGTCAAGCCATAAACATGCACTACTGTGGTTAAACGACACCGCAAACCCTGGCTGACTTATTGGCGAATTGGAATATACTGGCGTAAAACTAAGCTTCATTATATTCTTATTCATAGGTACATCACCATGGTGACTGTAGGGGTGGAAGTGCAGTCTGTTCTCAACCATCTTGCCTTCCTGGAGGAAGTAGACAAACAACAAGAGATGATCGAAGGGTCTTCTCTGCAAGGGGCAATCGAGCGGTACAGTCGTTACTGGCTGCCTCTAGCGTCCAAACATCCAGAGGAAGTTTTAGCAGCACCTTTGGACATTGAATGGGTATGGCACTGCCATATGCTGGTTCCACTAACATATCAAGAAGACTGTATTTCCAGGGTAGGTCAAGTTGTTCCTCACAAACACCTAGATCCAACAGAAAGAAAGGAGATCATGGCTAAAACACAAGACTTATGGGATAAAGCATATCCTGGAGTACCGTTCCTTACTCAACCAATGTCCACTAATGCCGGACCGGCTGGTCATCATATTTCAAGAGTCACTTCTGATATCGTTTCCACCTCTGCCAAACACAGGCAGTTCTATTACCAAGTTTCTCTCCCACATTATAGAGACAAACAATTCATCTTGAAAAGTTTTGAAAGATATAAGAAATTTATTCACCTTCAGAAAATGAATCCAAGCGCTGTCCTTGCCCCTGCAGTCGACATTGATCTCATTTGGCAAACTCATCTTCTGGACCCTTTGGATTATAGAGTTGATACTGAAAGGATTCTGGGGCACCTCCTCGATTATGACATCAGTATATATGCCACACGAGACATGACAGAAGTTTCAAATGCTGAGAAACTTACAAGAACATTATGGGAGAAGGAGTTTGTTCTGGAGAAACTCGATGCCACTGGTGCGGTGTACAGAGGGGATCCGGCGAAAACACAGTTTACACAGTTAACCGATGAAGAGACAGCCAGTATGTCCTACACATCAGCAACAATTCGTATATCAACTTTGAAATTAAACTGTATTCCAAAACGGGCAAGAGCAGTTGAACTGGACTTTTCATCCTATTATTCAATGGACAGCTATCATTCCAAGGAATGGTCCAATAAGAATGCAATGGAATGGACGGATCCTGATCTGGCAACGGAAGACGTGAGTCTTAAGCACTGTCGGCTGACATTCAGCCTGACTGGAATTCAAGGGAAAAGCTTTTTGAAGAAGGAATTTAAATTTCGTATCGGGAATGGGGTGTTTGACACCTCCAAATACATCCACGCAATGACAGGAAACTCCACTTCATTTGAGGAGACGGTGCCGCTCCTTCCCTCACCTGTACAGTTACTTATCGCAGGGACAATGTCAAATCCACGCAAAGATGTCATAGCTTTTAAACTTGAACGGGAACTTTTTAAACCAGTAGAACATCCAAACGACGAGAGGGAGGAAATCTGGGGTCCAGTTCCACTGCCTGTACCAAAAGTGGCAGATGCTCATGAAACATGCTATATGGCCACACACACGTACGTACTTTGCACAACGCTCCAGACTTATCGCATTATCCAAAAGCACTTGAATCATAGAGGAGGGGGTGGGGGTGTTGCGGGGGGGTGTGTGAGAGAGGAGGTAGGGGTGGGTATGTTGTGTGTGTGTGTTCCACACCATATTCGAGTTTTAAAATGTGGTAAAAGTCAACTGCCTGTGTCATTCCTGGCATTTCTAGAGATCTCATATGAAGCCAACACACTCACTCACACATTCATCGTACGAAACTCGCAGCGTAATGTTATATGTATGACGTATCATATGTTGGAGGTTTGTCACTGGGGAAATAATTTGGGTTTCTTTTGGCATCTGAAAATAGCTTGTATCTTTGCTGATCTTTGTAAATGTCTCTTCAGAGTAGCCTTTATCAGCGGAGAACCAGTGTTTACGTGCAAGGTAATCCACTCAACTGATGTGATGATGTCAGCAGTTTATGTGTACTATCGGGAGAAATTGGTGACGTGTGCACATCTGATTGGTCCAGACCAACTGCCACATCCAGACCAGGTTCGAACGGACAGTGTAAGTACCTAATGATCCATGAAACAAAGTGACTTACATGTGTCTCACTGATAACGCCACGGTCTCCTCTTATGATGCGACAGCCTCCGTGGTGTAGTGGTTAGAGCGTCGCCCGGAGAGCGGACGGTCGCGGGTTCGATCCCCGACCGCATCATACCAAAAGACGTTAAAATATGGTACTTGTTGGTCCCTGCCTGGCACTCGGCATTAATGGGTACATCAAGGACTGGTTGGCTCGGAGTCAGTATAATGTGTCTGAGTGGGGTATTCATGCTTCACTGCGGCATGGTTTCTCAGTGGACTAGCATTATAAAACTAGCTTCAGTCTGGGCTAGTACAATCAGCTGCACATACACACGCATGCACGTCGTCATATGAGCGAAATATTCTCAAGCCCGACGTTAACCCAGTTTCACCTCACCTCACCTATTATGATGCACATCATTTCTGTTTCGTCTCTAGGCCGAGAAGATACCTTGCTTGAACCCTCAATCAGGTGAGCGGGCTGTGCTGATCAAGAACAATAGGGGTGACTGGGGGATAGTCACTGGCAGCTGGACAGGAGTAGATGAAAGAGCTCTCTCTGCTTCGAAAGGTAGGAACCATATTGTCCTTAAGGCAGCCATTAGATTTACTCACTCACTCAGGAACTTACTCATTAACTCATTTCCTCACTCACTTTCCCTGTTGTCACTCTCTCAAACAATTAAACAAGTAACTTTGAACAACTGTCCTGACTATCTTTGTTTTCTTAATAGGAGAGAAAAGACGTCGACGTAGACGTAATGCTGTGCCAACGAGCCCGGGAAAACTGACGTATCGCTGGTACAACATTCCGAAAAAACGTTTGTCATTTCACCAACTTGACTACAAATCAGGTCTGATGTTGAGGATGGGCGATGTCGTATACGATGACGGCCATGTGATGCTGTACGACGGTGATGAAGTAGCTGAACATCTCGCCCTGGTGCTCTCCGTCGGGCTCCTCGTCGCAATGTGCCAGCCGAGACAGAGGGTTTGGGATCCGGTCTGGAAAGAGGTCTTTACAACTCTTCTTGGGGAAGAAACGCCTTTAGTAGGAGCAGCGGGGGCTACTCAACCATGTGCCTCAAACTTTTACATCGTCAACACGCACAAGAAGAACAGAGCCTCGAGGGACGAGGCTCCGAGACAATACCCGCAGAGGAGCAGGAGAGACAGCAATGAGGATAGGTACTTGGATGAGTATGAACACCCGTACATAATGGGCATAGATTCATGCGCGAAGGACTGCTGTGGGATGTATGAGTTAGACGGGGATGTGTACCAAGATGAGAAAGACTATGACGGTGGTGGTTGTGGTGGTGGTAGTGATGGTGGTGGTGGTGGGTTCAGTGGGTATAGCCATCATGGTAGAGGTGGGAGTGATAGTGGATCTATTGGCGGTGATTCTTGTGGTGGGGGATATTATGGAGGCGGAGGCGGAGACGGCTCTTGTGGGGGTGGAGGTGGAGCTCTTGTGGGGGGGCGGAGGTGGCTCTTGTGGGGGTGGCGGAGGTGGCTCTTGTGGGGGTGGAGGTGGGGCTCTTGTGGGGGTGGAGGGATGACTGATACTACATTGCTTGTTTTGGTTCTCAAAAGGAGTGAGTGAGAAAGTTTAGTTTTACCCCGCACACAGCAATATTCCAGCTATATGGTGGCGGTCTGTAAATAATTGAGTCTTGACCAGACAATCCAGTGATCAACAGCATGAACATCGATCTACGCAATCGGGAACCGATGACATGTGTCAACCAAGTCAGCGAGCCTGACCACCCAATCCCATTAGTCGCCTCTTACCACAAGCATGGGTTACTGAAGGTTCATTCTAACCCGGACCTTCACGGGTCGATTGGAAAAAGGAACATGTATTCTTAGATTTGAGACAAAGTTAAGCTGCACCAAACTGTAAACGTTTATTAACTCAGCTTCTCTAGGGATTTGATCAGCCGGGAAAAGGTAAGCCCCAGTCATTCCTTCCATGTACAAATCACAAATATGTACAAGTGCCATTGACCACATTATGATCAGTTGTTGGTGCTGCCAGATTCTCGACGACCCGTTGGTCAAAACGTGTCGCGTATCCTCCAGGATGTGGCATGGGGGAGGTCATGATATTTAATGTGAAGAAACTGGAGAACACTAACACTTCAGTCACATTACTGACCCGTGACTTTGCATTTATTGGATTTCAATACTTATGTGTCAAAACCACTTTGGTCAGAGGATAAATACACGACTGTTGGAACACCAGGCACCAAACTGTATGATTTTATAGTATGGTTGGCGATTTTATACTTAGCTTGTCTAGGCGATGTTTAATTATATTCTTGGTGTATATAGATGTAGCAATGGGAATAAATTGCCTTACCCCAACCCGACGGGAGTCCGGAAAATGAAACAATATTTACAAACTTTTAGAACTTTAGCATTCTTATGTACGAATGCTGTTTGCTGACTTTTCTTCAGCTTTTAATACCAGCCAGCCTCATGAGATGCAATATGTCAGTCAACGCATTTGTTATAAAATGGATAGTATCTTTTCTTGTACATAGACCCCGGTATGTAACTGTTAATAACACCCAATCAGCAACAACATTCATATCCACTGGTGCTCCGCAAGGTTGCGTTCTTTCTCCCCGACTTATTTATTTTACATATATGACTGTGTCAAAAGGTTTTCACAATGTTTTACTGTAAATTTGCAGGTGACGTCGCCGCTATGAAATTACAAAAATTCTTGAATGGTGGAAAATCAATTTTTTAAATTAGATGTTAAGAAAACAAAAGATACGGTTTTTGATTTACGGAAAAAAGTGAGCTGTTGCCAATTGCCATTGATAACGAAACCATCAATAGAGTTGAGGAATTTAAGTGATAGATTCTAAGCTCACCTGGAACAACAATACTGATAACAGATACAAGAAAGGACTAAAGCGGCCATAGTTTTTACGTCGTCATCGTTATTTTAAGATTGACACAACCATATTGTCGTTATTCTACAAGTCTTTTATTCAAAGTACAAGTATTTTAGTTTTCAGTGTTCATTGCTGGTATGGGGGTCTGTCTGTTCAAAATCGATGTTAGCCTTCTAAGATTCAGAGCTATCTCATTCAAACTCAGTTGGGTATTTTGCCATTTTCCGTTAATTGTAACAATAAAATAAGGTTTTAATGTTGGTTTACGTGTTTGTTATTTATAGTTGATCTGTAATATGAGAAACGATAAGAAATATTGCAAGTTGCCAAGTTCATGTGCTGGAATAGAAGCTCTCAATATACCAGTTATTTTACCTGTCGTCAGTAACCTCCAGGCTGTGATTTGACATTTGTATGTGTACGCATGCGAGATCCCATTTTTTGAGTATTTACAAAAATTCAAGCGTACTAGGAATTGAGCGTTCACATAAATATTTGCGTAATTTACGCAGATACGCAGCTTATCTGTACCTCTGGAAATTGTTAACACAGCAAGGAAAAGTTCTGGACTTAAAATGCAAGCTATCGGCACTATCGGAAAGAAAGCACTAATTTAAATGACAGCCCTAAGTCCTATTTCCTGAATTTCAACTTCTTCCTTCTGGCCGACGACTGCATACGCCATATACATAACAAGCGGGGCTCGAAATTCTTTCATCCCAGAAAGCATCAGCGTTTTAAATGAGTTATCATAATGCTTGTTAATAATTTTATACCACTTTATCAGTTGTTTCAAATGGTAATATTAATAAATATACTGTTGGTGCTAATGTTTTTCTTAATGCATAACTTTAATGTCGCCATTATAGCTCTAACTATATTACTATTCATTCATACTAATCTATAAGGCGTTGTTGCTATTTTAGTAATATTTAACAGATGCATGGGTGAACATAGAGATTTTTTCTGGGTTACATATTCTTTTTATTCTCGAGTACAACGTTTCAGGGCTTGTTCTGGCCCCATCATCAGGTAAAACTGAACAGTAGCTGATAACTCTGGCCGTGACGTCACAATGCTTATGATGTCACAATGCTATGACGACGCAATGCATGTGGTGGTCAATAGATACAGATGACATGGCTAATAGAATACATGTTATTATGAATATAGAAGATGTCGTTTACTGCAAAATTAATGGATCAATTTAGAACTGTGTAGATACTTATACAAAATTGTTGATTGATTTAGAAATGTACAGAGACGTATTTATAAATGTATAGAATGTAAAGTAATAGCAGTGTATACATAGAAATTATGCTTTATACATGGGAACATTGACGAGGGTAGGGTATTTTCTAAGATGCCTAGCGGTTAGAACAATCGAAAAAAAAAATACATTATCAGACAATAAAGGTATAGTTTTTTGATGACGTAACAATTAAATGACGTTATCCCGTCACTGCGCTATTCTAGTGTGCCCCCTCGTAATCGAACCATTTTACATTACGTCACAATGTAAGCGACGTCACGATGCATGTCAGTTGTCATCGCCTCGTACGGCCTCCTACAGTAAACTACACCGTTGCATCCAGTTTCTTGGTTTGCTGTTGCTTCATGCAGCTAACATCACTGGTGGAAACATTACGTTTATGTTTTACGACGGTTAAAATGTGTCATTTCGACTCACAAGTTTTCAGCGACACGTTAACGTTCGTAAAGTTTACATTCCCACAATGCAATTGTGGAATGTCGCTTGACTACTCAACTTCCTCTGGATGTACTGATCTAAACTTACGCTGGTAGTAGAAATGCAACGTTCATATTGCCCCATATGGTTTACGTTAATGACAGATGTAATTAAAATAATTCAGAGAAGATATTTAATCCGAACGTAAACCGTCATCAAACTGTTATCATTTGTTTTTTTCTGGTAACGTTCGTCTTAACGTAGGGGGCAGACACATCAATAGAACAGCGCGCCAGTTAGCCCTGTGCGAGGATTCTTAATTTAGGTCACCGACACCGTCGTTTGTTTTCTGCCTTAAATTAATCGTAATTATCTTTAGAAAGTATTAAATTTGGCATCTTAGAAAAGAAATACACTTCGCCCTACCACCATGTATAGTGTAATAAAACACACTTTTGCCCTGAGCGTCCTCGTGCTTTAACTATAATAGTTCAGGGCAAAAGTGTGTTTTATTACACTATACATGATGGTAGAGCGAAGTGTATTTCTTCAGTCTTATTGTTTTATGTACCATGCATTTGGGAGTCTGCATATATATGGGAGCATGGTATCGATTGACCACATGCATTGCGTCATCATAGCATTGTGACGTCATAAGCATTGTGACGTCACGGCCAGAGTTAACAGTTACTGTTCAGGTTTACCTGATGATGGGGCCAGAACAAGCCCTGAAACGTTGTACTCGAGAATAAAAAGAAGATGTAACCCAGAAAAAATCTCTATGTTCATCAAATATCATCTTCTAAAATGCCAATCAAGCATATGTATGGGTGTTTTTATGATCTTATGTACATGTATCTTTTACTGTATTGTATGTTTTCAATGATAACCGTGTACAACAAATGTCCTTTGAGATAATAAAGCATCATGTTATCTTATCCTAAAAGGTGAAAAGAATCTTATCTTATCCTAAAAGGTGAAAAGAAAGACCAGAAACAGAAGAGATATATTTATTTCAACAAAACGAGCTGAGAAAAATATAACGCATGTACGTATAAGATTTCGTGACGTCAGCTGAACAGGACGGAGATAAACAGTATATATCACACATGGAAGGTAAATATGACCAATATACATCACGATGGAGCACCTACGTCTGTAAGACATCATCAATCAAGCAGAATAAAAACTACCATATTAACTCTAGTTCATGAATACTGAGAGGGTTTGGCAATAACGTATGTTGGTACAAATATCCGGAATATCACTACTACTACTCAGTCTGTGTGTATCACAGAACAAAATATACGACTTGTAGTTTCTGTTCTGGGTGGAATCGTTGAAGGATATTTACAGAATGAGGTAACAAGAAGCGGCCAGTTATAACATGATCGAGGCAAGCCATGATAACGACCTGATTTATCCCATGTGAGGGATGTTTAAAGTTCAATGTAGAGATGCATTTACAAGATGTAGCCTTAACCCTGTGATACAATGGAATGTTTATTCATGTAGAATCAATACTATAAGCTATATATGTAAACAAATGCAAGCTACGTATACTGTATATATACATAACCACATGCATACAAGATATGTATATTAAATCACATGAGATTTAGATGTTTGTTAACAAATCTCCACATTTGAAATATCTGACTGGCAAGTCATGCAGTCAGACTACAACACCCTTCAAATGGCTTCAGTGCAACACGCCTGAGTACTATCAGTTCATACATACATGCATCAGATTGTTGGTAATTATGTTAGCATATTTGGAATGATATTTCGTAGTGATTTTACCCCCAACATATGGTTACCGCTGGTTTCCATGGCAATGTATGGCAGATACAGATGGGACATGGGACCATTGGACAGACTCATCCATCAGAGGACAGACTCGTCCATCAGAGGACAGACTCGGTCAGACTCGTCCATCAGAGGACATACTCGGACAGACTCGTCCATTAGAGGACTGACTCGGACAGACTCGTCCATCAGAGGACATACTCCATCAGAGGACAGACTCGTCCATTAGAGGACAGTGTATGAGACACACGACCATTCTGTGTACCTTCCATCCGAGGACGCTACATAGCCTTTATATTTTACATATTCTAATGGATAAGATTGTACGGAGACACTATTCAGGTGGAGTGGACGTCTCAAGGTGTCTCGTTCCCCCACCATATCACCTCTCTACCTCTATCACCTTGTATTTACAGACTGTGGTCACAATTATAACCATCTGATTATAAAACTAGCTCACAGGTTCAAATCAACAACCAATCACATTGCCCAACACTTTCAAGCGATCTCTCGAATACAGAATTGGAAGACTGTTAATATACACGTTCAGTTGGTTCTGAAAGCGAAACGGTGAATGGTTCCCGAGTAGCTGTTGTTGGGTGTGAAATACACTTGGCCCTGCTCCCAAAAGCGCTTGTAGCAGCACGAACATTGTAAGTCTACGTGAAGCTATGAAAGAAGCTTTCCCCGCCAGGAAACTCCAGTTAAGAAAAACATGTGGGATGAATACATAACATATGTCATATACGTTCTCACATTTCCTATCAAGAATATATTTGTGACATCAACATCGCGTGCAATATGTACCATCATCCCACAAATGGAAAAAAGAAATCACTCGTGGTGCTGCTCTGTTTGAGAAGAAACTCCCAAAAGCCACACTTGTCTTCAAGAACCGCTTTTTCTGAACTCAGATAACAGATGTCGAGTTGTGTGGTAACTCAGTTGGAATACAGAGTATCGTAAAATGACGTGAGACTAAGACTGGGAACGCCGTTGTACTGGTCTAGACTGGTTCCAAATGTCTCTGTGAATCCGCTGTCCGGGAGCCTCAAGTTGATGTAGTCCCACAGCGTCTTGTAGCAGAATCTCAGTTGTTCCTGAAGTAAACAAAAGTAAGAATTACGGCTTAAATTGAGGGGCGACTGTTGGTTTAAGCCACATACAGCAACGTGTAAGTCGTATCACGGACGCCGGTAAATAGTCGAAACCAGAAGTTTCAGGACAGCCATCAATAAGCGCATCGCTCGAGCTAAGGGAGGCAACTCAGACACGTCACATAACACTAATATTGCTGTGTGTCATTAAATAACAAACCGACATATTCATTTGACTTTAGATCGCAGAATTTACTTAAACATTATCATGTTATCTCTTTCAACGTTTTACATCTTACCGGATACGCCAGAATTTGTGCCCGACGTCGCTTCATGTGTTTGACGGTGTGGAGGACGTCCACCTCCTCGTCTTCGGCAATCTTCTCACATATGACCTTGATTGCACAAAACAGTCCACTGTTGGTCGCTCCGTCTCTACAGTGCACTATCATCGGCTTAGTGTTCTCATTGGTCACGTGCTGCCAATCGGTCACGAGGTCAAGGAGGTCAAGGATAAGGGTCTTGGATGTGGGAATAACATTAGGTTCATCCCAGCCATTGAACTGGAACTGACGCACAAACTTGGGTGCTTCCTTCGGCTGTGTGGAATTGTGTATTTTGAAGTTCCTGATTGTGACGTTGTTTTCCTGATAAGTTGCCGTCGTCTCCACAAAAAAGGGTTCAAAAGGTTTCATTGAGACGTCAGGCCAATACTCTGCGCATGTGTCATCCTCGTGTTTGAATGTTTCCACCATGACAATGGTATTGACGTCATAATCATATACCAACTTCCAGAAGTCCACGATAGTCGACGGGAGCGGCGTCTGTGTCAGGATAAACTCGTTCTTCAACCTAAAGCCGTCTAGGAATGTAGCGTTTATGTAGTCCGTCCTTCCAATACCACCCGGTGTCATTAACACTGGCCGAAACATCTCCATCGGTAACACATCCGGGTATCTGTTCTTGTTATAGTTAATCGGAAGTACTGCTGTGTGGCACTGCTCGGGTCGAGGACTCCGGGTAAACTTCTCAAGCAAACGGAACTGGCCTTTGAGATAGGAATGACCCGTCTTCTTATTCCTCATAGTGAGTTTGCTGTACCATTCTTTAAGGTCAAAGCCAACAACAGTGCGCCCTGCGTGGAACTGTTCAAAAAGGGCTTCGTAAATAAACACATACTCCTTCAATGTCCGCACCATGAAGGGTCGGTCCTTTCGGATCTTATTAATGAATGCACGCGGACTTGTTCGACCTTCCTTGCTGTACTGTTCAACGAGAGCATCTATTGCGATGAAGGTACCTGTTCTCCCCATGCCCGTGCCACAGTGTACCAGGATGGGAGTTTTAACATTCATGTGCGCTCGACGTACTTTCTGCCGCATCTCCAGTATTGGGATTGGGTCGAAAGGCACGCCATGCTCTGGCCAAGCGGTGAATTCAAACATTTTCACCGAACCTTTGAGCCCATCTGAGGTCTGGTACGCTACTACTCGAACGATGTAACTCGCAAAATATTCAATATCAAGGAGTTCGAGTAGAAAAGAACCGTACGACGCACGGCCATTTTCCGGCCAGTACTGTGTACACTTAACAATATTGTCCTCCACAATGTTTGTGATCATGACAATGGTTCTGACCTTCGTCTGGGAGATGAGGCGCCAGAAATCTAGGACCGTATCCTCATCAAAGGGGCTTTGTGCCGCGATGTAAGCCATGGGTCTCTTGTAGCCGGACACATAACTGGCGTTGATATAGTCATTCGTGGAGTTCTCATCTTGAAACAGGGCAACCCTGCTCTTATCATATGGAAGAAGATGTGGAAAACGATTCTTATGTTTGTTTTGTCTGTCTTTGGCAACGTGGCATGGGTCTCCGAAGTCATGGTTAAGGCTTTTAAACTCGTTTTTAAACGTGATAGGTTCGCCTTCAGGTGGAACTGTCGCATCGCCGTTCATTGTCACCATGTCGTCAGGCAGGTACTCCCTACCGGCCACAATGTAACGACTTTCTCTGAGAGAGTATATGGTGTTCCAATACTTGAGCGGATCATAGTCGTCCTTCACCACTGTCAAGTCGTAACCTTTCTCTACGTAGGGTCTGTAAGCTGGAAGACGGTTTTTCCTACGCCACCACAGGAACAATAATATGGCAAGAATAAGGATGATCAGTAGGATTAGGGCGACGATAATCCCGACTATAAGTCCTGTATTGTCTGCGGCAACAATGGGAGGTGACTCTGTGGTCAGATACACAGGCGCGGTCAGTCTTGGGCCCTTCATCACTGAGTAGGACGTCTTGGTGTCGCTGTTCAATGTACTGACCACTACATAGTATATGTTATAGTACTTTTCTCTTTCCAAAGGTCTGTTCACCACACCACTGTAGTTCTTCCCGTCTCCGATCTCAAACTGCCTCCTTTGCGGAACCTCGCTGGGATCCAGTTCAGCTGTTACATAACCAGCTGCCTGCCGCCTTCTCCTGGACCCGACCTTCTCCACCATCAGCTGATACTTGGTGATTGGTCCGGAAACAGGGAGAACTGGTTCTATGTAGACTGACATTGTAGAGTAGGTGGCGTTGATGAACACAGGGGGCGGTGGTGTTCTTGGAACGCCATGCTTTGTCCAGAAGCTTCCTGAAACCTCCGTACTGTTGCCTACAGAATTCCTGGCAGCCAAGAAGTACAGGTACATCACCCCGGGCTGAAGACCGCAGGTTGTGTATGACGTCGTGCTGGCATCAACAACGTCAACCGTTGGGCTGCTGTCGTCGGAGCCTTTTTGGAATCGAACCTGGAAAATATGGTATACGGATGTTTCAGTGAGTGCATGGGAGTATGTCGGAGCTGGGAGCTAAGTTTCATTTCGGAATTGCGAAGACCGACAATTTTCACAGATCATTTTTCAGGACTTCCAGCATGTTCATTGTGTATTGTCCCTATCGCCATTTTCCCTTCAGCCCAACACGTACCCAACCCTTACACAGACTTGAACCTTCCCCACACCAGAATATAACCTTCGTCGCCTCACCTGGTAGCTCTGTAATACCCCATTCTTTAATGTGGGAGGCTGCCATGCAACTGTCAAACAAGTCTCATTTTGGTAAGTGCGAACAAGACTCTGAGGGGCATCTGGAATGCGGGCTGCGGTGGTGACTGTTCTGTCAGCTGTATAGGGGCCCCAACCAGCCTCAGTGCGAGCTCTCATCTGCAACATCAACAGGTGGATTTGATCAGGGCTAACATCCGGCATATATAGTCCGATGAGAAGTGTACAAAGACACAAACTAACCGGCAATCTCAGGGGTAAACATTTGCCATGCACACACTATTTGTTTGTGGGAATGAGCTTCGATCATCATCATCATCATCATCATCATCATCAAGATCAGCATCACCACCATTTATAAGATCACATACCCTGAAGTAGTAGGTTGTGAAAGCGCTAAGGGAGTCGATGGTGACCTCGGTTTGAAGTGCCGGGAAGGTCAAGGTCTTTTGTGTGCTGAAGGTGTCGTTGTCGCTGTACGTCAGACCGTACTCCGTCAGGACGCCATTTGTAATGGATGGCGGGATGAAGGTCACACGAACCGTGGAGTCAGTAACACTGCTTCCCGTGACGAGCATCGGTCCCGGGGCTGAAAACAACACACTGGTTACAAATCTTATAGTATATGCAGGTCACTCCTACATGATCTATTGTTCACTCCCTACATGATCATTGATCTATTGTCCCTACTTCTACTTGTTACTCCTACATGATCTATTGTTCACTCCTACATGATCTATTGTTCACTCCTACATGATCTATTGTTCACTCCTACATGGTCTATTGTTCATTCCTACATGATCTATTGTTCACTCCTACATGATCTATTGTTCACTCCTACATGATCTATTGTTCATTCCTACATGATCTATTGTTCAATTCCTACATACATGATCTATTGTTCATTCCTACATGATCTATTGTTCACTCCTACATGATCTATTGTTCTATTATTCCTACATGATCTATTGTTCACTCCTACATGATCTATTGTTCATTCCTACATGATCTATTGTTCATTCCTACATGATCTATTGTTCATCCCTACAGGATCTATTGTTCACTCCTACATGATCTATTGTTCATTCTCTACATGATCTATTGTTCATTCCTATATAATCTATTGTTCATCCCTACATGATCTATTGTTCACTCCTACATGATCTATTGTTCATTCCTACATGATCTATTGTTCACTTCCTACATGATCTATTGTTCACTTCCTACATGATCTATTGTTCACTCCTACATGATCTATTGTTCATTCCTACATGATCTATTGTTCATTCCTACATGATCTATTGTTCATTCCCTACATGATCTATTGTTCACTCCTACTCCTACATGATCTATTGTTCACTCCTACATGATCATGTTCATCTATTGTTCATTCCTATTCACTGATCTATTGTTCATTCCTACATGATCTATTGTTCCCCCTTCCTACATGATCTATTGTTCACTCCTATTGTGATCTATTGTTCTATTGTTCATTCCTACATGATCTATTGTTCACTCCTACATGATCTATTGTTCATTCCTACAGGATCTATTGTTCACTTCTACATGATCTATTGTTCACTCCTACATGATCTATTGTTCATTCCTACATGATCTATTGTTCATTCCTACAGGATCTATTGTTCCCCTTGACATGATCTATTGTTCATTCCTACTATGATCTATTGTTCATTCCTACATGATCTATTGTTCACCCTTCTATGATCTATTGTTCACTCCTACATGATCTATTGTTCACTCCTACATGATCTATTGTTCACTCCTACATGATCTATTGTTCACTCCTACATGATCTATTGTTCATTCCTACATGATCTATTGTTCACTCCTACATGATCTATTGTTCACTTCCTACATGATCTATTGTTCACTCCTATATGATCTATTGTTCACTGTTTCCTACATGATCTATTGTTCACTCCTACATGATCTATTGTTCACTCCTACATGATCTATTGTTCATTCCTACATGATCTATTGTTCACTCCTACATGATCTATGATCTATTGTTCATTCCTACATGATCTATCACTCCTACATGTTCATTCCTCCTACATGATCTATTGTTCATTCCTACATGATCTATTGTTCACTCCTACATGATCTATTGTTCATGATCTATTGTTCCTTCTACATGATCTATTGTTCATTCCTACATGATCTATTGTTCATTCCTACATGATCTATTGTTCATTCCTACAGGATCTTATTGTTCCTCCTACATGATCTATTGTTCATTCCTACATGATCTATTGATTGTTTCACTTCCTACATGATCTATTGTTCCTCCTACATGATCTATTGTTCATTCCTACATGATCTATTGTTCATTCCTACATGATCTATTGTTCCCCTTACATGATATCTATTGTTCATTCCTATATGATCTATTGTTCACATGAATTACATGATCTATTGTTCCCCTTCTGTGATACATATCTATTGTTCATTCCTATATGATCTATTGTTCATTCCTACATGATACATGATCTATTGTTCCCCCTTCTATTGTTCACCCTTCCTATTATATATTGTTCATGATCATTGTTCATTCCTTGATCTATTGTTCATTCCTATATGATCTATTGTTCCTTCTTATGATCTATCTATTTCATTCCTATATAATCTATTGTTCATTCCTACATGATCTATTGTTCATTCCTCCTACAGGATCTATTGTTCATTCCTACATGATCTATTGTTCACTCCTACATGATCTATTGTTCACTCCTACATGATCTATTGTTCATTCCTACATGATCTATTGTTCATTCCTACATGATCTATTGTTCATCCCTACATGATCTATTGTTCATTCCTACATGATCTATTGTTCATTCCTAGCATGATCTATTGTTCATTACTATATGACCTATTGTTCATTCTTACATGGAATGCGGTTAATATATTCTTGCATAATGCATCGTTCATTCTTTCATGATAAATCTCTATCGATGCTAATGTTGTTAATCACTGGAGTGTCTGGTCCATATTTGTATAGCATTCCACATAAATACCTCCATCACACATGGTGTTGGTATACGCTCTTACCCTCCTCTTCCGTGGTGAAGGTGAAGGCTGAAGACACCGGCCCTATCCCCACGGCGTTCTGGTACGTCACCGTGACGATGTATTGCGTGAACGGCAATAGGAAGCCGTAGTTGATGGATGTGACGTTGCTGACGTCGCTGCGCAAGCCGCTGCTGCTGTTGAGCATGACGTTGTACTGCACGAACCGACCGCCTCGCTCCAAACAAGGGACACTTGTCCACGTGATCATCACGGTTCGTGACGTCCGATCACGTGTCGCAAAGTTAGACACAGTACCATTGGGAGCTGCACAGAGAAACCACGAACAGATTTAGGAGGACAGATAAAGACAGTGAACTGTTGCACCAAAAATGAGCTTCACATATTGTACCTATGTGGGAAATCGAACCTCTAGGCTACTCCACCGCCCCCGACTGCATTTAACGCCAACGAAGCAGAGCATTCACGTATGTCTCCACAGAAATGGTTACATTTGACAATGATATTAATTATTGATATTATCTATCAGCATATATTTATGTTTTTTCTAATGATTGTTTTAACATTGCTTCAGGGTTTAAATCATCCATCATTATTAGTCCATAGGTGGGGCGTGGCGCAACTCCTCGGTCTTATACAAAGGGTTGATCTGATTGATTAGTGGGGTGCACTCAATTAAAATTAAGTGAGTGAGTGAGTTAAGTTTTACGCCGCACTCAGCAATATTCCAGTTATATGGCGGCGGTCTCTAAATAATCGAGTCTGGACCAGACAATCCAGTGATCAACAGCATGAGCATCGATGTGCGCAACTGGGAACCGATAACATGTGTCATCCAAGTCAGTGAGCCTGACCACCCGATGCCGTTAGTCGCCTCTTACGACAAGCATGGGTTACTGAAGGTTCTAGTAACCTGGACCTTCAAGGGTCCAATTAATTAAGTGTGAGCCAGTTTGACTTGTCAGTCCTATCACGGTGTGTCTGCTTGATGTGGGAGTAACGCCCGAAGTAACGTAGGTCTTGGATGTTTATCTTTGTTGAAACCCAAGAGCATACATATGGCATGATGGGATTCGACCATACCATCATAGATTTCTGACATGACTAAGGGACGCAACTCTGTAGAGCTAAACGCAGCGTCTTATACAGCTGGGTTAGCACTGTCCTTTGTTATCTCTAAGCTCGTTTCATGACATAGGGTTAAGACTATTCCCTTCTCTCTTACCTATTTCTCTAGTCGATATCCTTCTGTCCAAAACGTCACTGATGTTCAGAGCCTCCCCGAAGGCTTCGAGGGTAAATGAGTACACACGCCAGGGGTCAAGGTCACTGATGTTCACGCTACCGGAACCGGAAGTGTGCGTAACCGGAACCACGGTGATAGCACCGTCGACCACAGCGCAGTCCCCGATCCCGACTTCCTGGTAGTACAGCGTTATGTTGTAGACGATGCCCAGACTCGTGGCGTTTCTCGTCAACGTCCACGACATCCTGACGGTACCGCCAGGCAGCAACAAGGGTTCTACGACGTCAAACACCTTCAGACCTGTCCCAACACACATGTCACACCTTTGTGATACAATGCATCATACATTCTAGCTTACATATGTCGAAGGAACACTCAGATAAAATACATATAACGGAAATGAGATTGTAATGATGGCATAAACGCCACTTTTGGCAGCATTCGTTCAGAGGACACAACAAATGGGCATTGAACTTTGTACAAGGTTAAGAAATGAAACATATGAGTGAGTGAGTGAGTTGGGTTTTACGCCGCTTTTAGCAATATTCCAGCAATATCACGGCGGGGGGACACCAGAAATGTGCTTCACACAATGTGCCCATGTGGGTAATCGAACCCGGGCCTTCAGCGTAACGAGCGAACGCTTTAACCACTGGGCTACCCCACCGCCCCGAATTAAACATATGACTTCGCGACACGAGCAAACGCTTAACCTGTTGGCTACGCCACGACCCCGCCACGTTAAAATGACTGCTAAAAACACATCTGAAACACATACATTTGACATGAACATTTTCAGCACAGTCAGGAATATATCAGCTATATAATTGTGGCGTATGAATCAGAGGCATATCCGAATAAAGGCACGAGTGATGCCGACCACCGTCCCTGCATTTCCCTCACACCGCAACAGTTGTCTACGACAGATATCTATTCCGGAAGCTTCAAAGGTTATTCCTGTCACAACTTCGAACGTTGTACGAAACGTTGAGCACATACCTATGATAGACCTCGTTGTTGTTGTCGTCGGGGGAGGTTCTGTGGACGCTGTGGACGAGATGAACAGACTGTCAAAATCGTTTTCACATTTTGAGTAAGAAGGACAATACAGGTTTCAGAGACATCGGATTATTGAGTATAAATCTGGTTTCAGACGCAGATCTTCTTCACAGCCTCCTGGGAAGGCAGGGTTTCCAGACTTGTGGTGCACAGTCTAAACGTGATACCTGTACGGTCTACCTGTGTTACCTGTACGGTCTACCTGTGTTACCTGTACGGTGTTCTTGTGTTACCTGTACGGTCTACCTGTGTTACCTGTAGGGTGCACCTTTTTGTCCCTCATGGTTTAACTGCCTGATGTAACTGTTATATAGTTATAAGGTGTACAATGTTCCTCCAGGGTGCACATGTGTAACGTGAAGGATGTCCCTGCGTTACCTGTACCTTTTACGTGTTACCTGTACGGTCTACCTGTGTTACCTGTACGGTGTTCTTGTGTTACCTGTACGGTCTACCTGTGTTACCTGTAGGGTGCACCTTTTTGTCCCTCATGGTTTAACTGCCTGATGTAACTGTTATATAGTTATAAGGTGTACAATGTTCCTCCAGGGTGCACATGTGTAACGTGAAGGATGTCCCTGCGTTACCTGTACCTTTTACGTGTTACCTGTACGGTCTACCTGTGTTACCTGTACCTTGTGCTTGTGTTACCTGCAGGATGTACCTGTGTTACCTGTAGGGTGCACCTTTTGTCCCTCATGGTTTCCCTTTGCCTGATGTAACTGTACTTGTGTTAGTACAAATGTTCCTGTACGGTGCACATTGTGTAACTTGTGCGTTACCCTGTTACGATGTACTTGTGTTACCTGTACCTTGCGCTGTGTGTACTTGTGTTACCTGTACGGTGTACTTTGTGTTACCTGCAGGATGTCCCTTGTTGCGACCTTCTACCTGTGTAACCTTTTACGGTGTTCTTGTGTTACCTGCAGGATGTCCCTTTGTTACCTCGACCTTCTACTTGTGTTACCTGTACCGGTGTTCTTGTGTTACCTGCAGGATGTCCCTTTGTTACCTGTACGGTGTACTTGTTTACCTGTATGGTGTACTTGTGTTACCCGCAGGATGTCCTTTGTTACCTGCACGGTGTTATATAGTTATACGGTGTACTTGTGTTACCTGCAGGGTGCACCTGTGTTACCTGTACGGACTTGTGTTACCCTGCGGTGTACTTGTGTTGTACCTTGTGTTACCTGTACGATGTACTTGTGTTACCTGTACGGTGTACCTGTGTTACCTGTACGGTGTTCGCAGGATGTCCCTTTGTTACCTCGACCTTCTACTTGTGTTACCTGTACGGTGTACCTGTGTTACCTGCAGGATGTCCCTTTGTTTTGTCTTCGACTTGTCTGGTTTACGGTGCCTGTTATGTAACTGTTATATGTGTTACCTGGTACGGTGTACAATGTTACCTGTACGGTGTTACTTGTGTTACGGTACCTTTTGTGTTACCTGTACGGTGTTCTTGTGTTACCTGCATGATGTCCCTTTGTTACCCTCGACCTTCTACTTGTGTTACCTGTACGGTGTTCTTGTGTTACCTGCAGGATATCCCTTTGTTACCTCGACCTTCTACTTGTGTTACCTGTACCTTGTACTTGTGTTACCTGCAGGATGTCCCTTTGTTACCTGCACGGTGTTGTTGTGTTACCTGTATGGTGTACTTGTGTTACCTGCAGGATGTCCCTTTGTTACCTGTACGTTGTACTTGTGTTACCTGTACGGTGTACTTGTGTTACCTGTACGGTGCACTTGTGTTACCTGTACGATGTACTTGTGTTACCTGTACGGTGTACTTGTGTTACCTGTACGGTGTTCTTGTGTTACCTGCAGGATACGGTGTTCTTGTGTTACCTGCAGGATGTCCCTTTGTTACCTCGACCTTCTACTTGTGTTACCTGTACGGTGTTCTTGTGTTACCTGCAGGATGTCCCTTTGTTACCTCGACCTTCTACTTGTGTTACCTGTACCTTGTACTTGTGTTACCTGCAGGATGTCCCTTTGTTACCTGCACGGTGTACTTGTGTTACCTGTATGGTGTACTTGTGTTACCTGCAGGATGTCCCTTTGTTACCTGTACGATGTACTTGTGTTACCTGTACGGTGTACTTGTGTTACCTGTATGGTGTACTTGTGTTACCTGTACGATGTCCTTGTGTTACCTGTACGGTGTACTTGTGTTACCTGTACTTGTGTTACCTGTGTGTACTTGTGTTACCTGTACGATGTACTTGTGTTACCTGTACGGTGTACTTGTGTTACCTGTACGGTGTTCTTGTGTTACCTGCAGGATGTCCCTTTGTTACCTCGACCTTCTACTTGTGTTACCTGTACGGTGTACTTGTGTTACCTGCAGGATGTCCCTTTGTTACCTCGACCTTCTACTTGTGTTACCTGTACGGTGTAATTTGTGTTACCCTGTACTTGATGTTACCTGTACGGTGTACTTGTGTTACCTGTACGGTGCACTTGTGTTACCTGTTACCACGGTACTTGTGTTACCCTGTACTTGTGTTATCGCATGTACTTTGTGTTACTTGTGTTACGGTGTACTTGTGTTACCTGTACGGTGTTCTTGTGTTACCTGCAGGATGTCCCTTTGTTTCCTCGACCTTCTACTTGTGTTACCTGCACGGTGTACTTGTGTTACCTGCAGGATGTCCCTTTGTTACCTCGACCTTCTACTTGTGTTACCTCTGCGGTGTTCTTGTGTTACCTGCAGGATGTCCCTTTGTTACCTCGACCTTCTACTTGTGTTACCTGTACCTTGTACTTGTGTTACCTGCAGGATGTCCCTTTGTTACCTGCACGGTGTACTTGTGATACCTGTATGGTGTACTTTCGTTACCTGCAGGATGTCCCTTTGTTACCTGTACGGTGTACTTGTGTTACCTGTTCCTTGTACTTGTGTTACCTGTACGGTGTACTTGTGTTACCTGTATGGTGCACTTGTGTTACCTGTACGATGTACTTGTGTTACCTGTACGGTGTACTTGTGTTACCTGTACGGTGTTCTTGTGTTACCTGCAGGATGTCCCTTTGTTACCTCGACCTTCTACTTGTGTTACCTGTACGGTGTACTTGTGTTACCTGCAGGATGTCCCTTTGTTACCTGCAGAGTTCCCCCTGTTAACTGTACAATACACTCACATGTGCAAGGTATGTAGACGAGGTCGGAGGGGAAACCAGAAGATGCAGTCATGGGCTTGCCGCCGTCGTCCCTCTGTATGTCCACTCTGAACCTGTACTGCCCATCACGTTGCAGGTCAAGCATATAGTGGTAGTATCCTGTCCGTCCCGCCTGGCTCACCCTCGTCGTCACGAACTCCCACGTAAGGCTGCTGTTCAACTTCCGGTAAAGTCTGTCATGAGAACGACACGTGACACATCTCTAATTTCTATAACATAGCTCTGGACATAAGTCTGAACGCCATAGAAGGTCACGCCTCAAAACAATTTCACGGCACAATCTACATGAGGGACAAGCGGGTTCTTTAGTCAATATTGTATAAGTTATATAAAAAACGACTGCGGATAATTTTATAGCATTGCTGCGGATTGGCTGATTAGAAAATGCAACTGACGCCACAAAGTGACCGAGTTTAGTTTTACGCCGCATCCAGCCATATTCCAGCTATATGGCGGCGGTCTGTAAATAACTGATTCTGGACCAGACAACTCAGTGATGAACATCATGAGCATCGATCTTCGCATTTAGGAACCGATGACATGTGTCAACCAAGTCCACTCGATCCCGTTAGTAGCCTCTTACGACAGGCATGGGTTACTGAAGATCAGTTCTAACTCGGATCTTCACGGGTCACTTTTACACAGATGTTTATGAGCATAACATCTGATATTACTGTACTGTGGACTAACTGCACTGAATGGAATCAAAATCGATCTGGATTGTAAAAGTCTAACTCAATGTATTCAGTATGATATCAAATGATTTATTAATTTGAAATTTCTTATGTATTAAAAAAAGTCCTTAGACTATTTGCTAAACACAACTTCACTATAAGACATTGTGCATTCATCATCATACGTCTGGGTGGGATCAGCAGCCTCAGCTACCTTGTCCACGCCATCCTACCGTTTTGAAAGTTACTTCTTTTCAGCTGGATTTTCTACCGAATATGTTATCTGTATAGGGATATTGTGCGGAAAGCCCGTATTGATCGTGAATACGTCGTCAGAAATATATTTTGCATTTGAACACATAACACTCGCCAGGGACTGAAGGGATGGTATCCAATTAACACATTGTTTGTTTGTTGTTTAACGCCACAATCAGCAATATTCTAGTGGGTGAGGGAGTGGGGACACAGAAATGGGCTTCTAGCTATATGGCGGTAGTCTGTAAGTAACATAAAATAACATGTTACATTTGGCCACTTCCAAAACGGCATTGTATGTTCGTGATGCTTATATCTCTTTTTCAAGAGAAACTACAGACATATTACGTGCGTTTCATTAGCTTAGTAAATACTCTGTTTGAAACATGTAATCGTGATGTGTACGAATTTTCGTTCGCTTAATAAAACACTTTGAATGTTATACTCGGGCTTTCGTTCCTGTCCTTTATGTTTACATCTTTATCAAAACACAGGACTTATCCCTTACATCGAGCAGTTCGTTCCCATGGAGACATGTACACTAGATTGCTTGCATGGCTGGAGTACCGGTCATTGTGGCATAACGTGCACCATTACCTGTAGTTTGCTATAGGTCCTTCTCCGATATCTATTTCCTCGTTCCAAGCCGGCCACGTGATGTTTGCCCTCTGACATCCCACGGACACTGCTGATGGGGGATTGACCAGCTTTGGCAGGCCTTCAAACAGAGTGAGTGAGGTCGGGTGAAGGAGACTTCAAACATTATTTCCGTTGTACGAAGGCGTGCAAATTTGATTTGTGTGTAAATATCCAAGTGATGCTTGTCTGCTGAAACATACCCCTCCCTTCACACACACATACACGCACCTGTCCAAAACGCAGCCACACCCTCTCTCACAGTCACATTCATTCATTCACTCACTCACGCACAAACTATGATAATTTGATTTCGTAACAGTACCGCGATACGATGAATTGAATAAGCGAGAGTACGTTAAGGGTACGGCACGTACGTATTTGGCAGCTCGGTCCTCCGTAGTCGGGGTGACACACTCCTCCAGGACACAGACCGTTGACAGGGTCACATGAAGCTTGTCCCACGCAGTTGCACTTCAGTGAACAGTCAAGGCCAAACGTGCTGTTGTCACATGCTGAAAGTAAACATAAATAAACGGTATTGTTTGTTTTCTGTTTGTTGTGGAAAGCTGTCTGGAGTAGGCAAAGCAGTGGTTGACGTAATGAGCATGATAGTCACGGTAGGGACACGATGACATACCATCAGCCAGTGACTGATATAATGAGCAACGGTCGTCACGGTCGGGGTATGTTGACATACCATCACCCAAGTTGTTTTTTTATTTTCTGTTCCCGAAAATACTTGAACATTTTTTGTTCGCGGTGGTAGGCCTAAAAATGACAGCTTGGATTCTCCTTCCCGAGAACAACGAAAGCCTTGTTGCAATGACCGAACCAATCTCCAACAAATGTTCCAGGCCCCTATATACTGTCTACCGTCGACCCCCACCAAACCATCCCCACCTCCCACCCCACCCCAGAAAACGTTTGACTCCCTCACCGTCTTTACAGAAGGGCGGTTCCTTCCACCCCCTGGCACACTTCCACCCCTCACAGAAGCCGTCCGTTGTACGACACAGTTCCTGGTTCAGACAATGGCAGGTGCCCGTGCAGTTCACCCCGTACAAGTTACTGCCGCATCCTGCATGGAGAGAAAGATCATTTGGAAACGTGGATTGAGTTTAACTGCGCTTCGAAAACTATTTGAACATACGCGCGGATCTCACACGTTCCACGATTGTGAAAGCGTTGTGCACAGATCGGGACCAGTGTGGAGTCGGATTCAACCCTTCGCGTCCAAGGGACATAACCCGTTCAAGGCTATAAACGCTGGGGCACACATGCATCCAAGTGAAATGAGAGGACAGCTACATATTTCTTTCATTTAATTTTAAACAGGAAATATTCATATATATGATGACACAACGAGAAACAGTGAACTCCATCAACTTTGGAATTTCTGTAATTGTTCGCCGTCAGGAGTTTCTAGATCCATGTGTGTGCTACATTAGCCTGCTAAATCTCACTGACGGATTCGCGCGAATTTACTTGTTGCCAGTGTTGCCGCCTCTCGTTCTCAGTCAGCAACCAGCCGCCTCCGTGGTGTAGCGGTTAGAGCGTCCGCCCGGAGAGCGGAAAATCGCGGGTTCGATCCCCGGGCGCGGTACTTGTTCATGTGTACAACAAGGGAGGTATTCATGCTTAACTGGCATGGTATCTCAGTGAGCTTGCACTATAAAACCAGCTAAAGTCTGGGCTGGTACGAGCACGCATGCACGTCGTCATATGAGCGAAATATTCTCAAGTACGACGTTAGACCCCATTTCACCGCACCTCACCAATTGTCAGTAGCCAGGTGGGGGAATAAAATGTAGACTTCATGCATACTGATACACACGTATGTCACTGGACTGTAGGTCTGACAGTGGCCATTCTGTCTTATACGTGTGACGCAATCGCGGAAAGGAGCGTAAAATCCAGCATAATACAGTTTAGCTGGAAGTATGGTTTTACGCCGCTTTTAGCAATATTCAAGCCACATCACGGCGGGGGACACCAGAAATGGGCTTCACACATTGTTTGCATGTGGGGAATCGAATTCCGCGTGACGAGCGAACGCTTTAACCCCACCGCCCCTCCATTGGTGGAGCGTATCTGGATGGAGCTTCTTCTGGGACAGCAGGATGAAGGTGGTTCGAGTCCCTCCTCTACTGAAGTGTAACAAGGACCAGTTGGCACGGAGTCGGGGTAATGTCAGTGGGGTCTCCGCATAGTATCGGAGCGGTGTTGCTTTACATATCATACATTACGCACGCACGAACGCACGCACACATACACATGCATGCACGTCACTATGTAAGTGCAATAAACTCGCAGTTAGTGAAATAACCTCAGATAAAAACTTTGTACTCCACCAGTGTCTTACTTCAAATAATTTAGTTTCAATATTCTTATGGTCAAATGTTGGTCAGGTGTTATGTCTAATGGTAGTCAGGTGTCATTATTGTTAAGCTCAAGTTATTATTCCATATGACAAAGTATTATTTTTTCCTATTGTCAAGTGTCATTGTTTCTAGCATTCACATTTTACAGACCTTTTATGTGAACTTCATCCGGCAGAATAGGATGACATAAAATAAATAGTATAGATCGTCTATGTCCCGTTCAGCTGTTCTTATAGGCCCAAACCCCGGACAGAACACGGCCCACGTGAACGAAATGAGCAGACTTTGTTTACATTTCGAGCATATGAATTCACGCAACAGTGAAAAATATATACAAAAAGTCCGTTTGAGTCAGAAACGGACCGATGAATTGCAAATTTTATCATTGTACAAAATTGCCAGGTGTGCGAGAAAGGATGGAGACGGCACAGCACAGGCTAATGAATCAATAACTTGGTGGGCACTTGTGCACGTGCTTCTCTAACACCTGGCTGTCCCTTTCTCTGCACTCCTCCCTCGTAACAAATGGTGAACTGTGTCAAAATATTAATGATAGTTTCTTAAAGAACATTTTTGGTGGAGTCTGGAAAATTTTCAAATATAAGAAAGCTGTTGGGTATTAGTAAATGATAAACATGTGTACTATTTATATTTATGTGGCAATTTTGTACAATGATAAAATTTGCAATTCATCGGTCCGTTTCTGACTCAAACGGACTGTAATTCTATCGTATTTGTTTGCGCAAAATCTTGAAAGTCACCATGCTGAAATATTTGAAACCACTGAGTCCCCAAAACATCTAATATGTTCATCGTTTTTCACATATTTTAAACTGGCATCGTCTACTAATCACCCTGAAAACATCTACTAGAGATCTTCTAATTATAGCGCCAATCATACCCCGCGTTTTATCAACAGGTTATAGATAATACCTGAAACAAATTTTATCACGGAAATATGTTACACAGTCCAGCCTTAAAGCCTTATCGGACACAATATCAACATGATTATATATAATAAGTAGATTCAATGTGTGAAATAGTGAGTATCATGCTGTATAAAGCAACATGTCTTACGTCGGCAGAGCGTGCCCATCCGGATGTATCCACGGGCGCATGCGCGGCAGTTATCTCCGTTCGGACCCGTGCATCCATCACAAGCCGCATCACATGCTGCAGAGAGGAAGGGAAGTGATGTCATAATATGCTTGTCATTCAGGGAGAATCACAATATTTTCAACTGTAAATGTTGTATACAAAAGATATGGACACATAGCCCCACACACAATAATGTGTGAAGCCCATTTCTGTTGTCAAACGCAGTGATATTGCTGGAATAGTGTTAAAAGCGGCGTAAAACTAAACTCACTCACGCACTCACTCACATACATGGACGTGCAATTCACTTACCCACACACAGGACGCCGGTGCCGTCGTTCTTGTCGAGGCAGTACTGGGTGTTGGGGCAGGGGCCTGGGTTGTCAGCACATCGCCCTGGAATCAAGGACCATGTTATAGTCGAAGAAACATTCAGCTATTAATGAAATGGAAAACATCAATCATAGAAGCTATTGTCCCTCTTCGAACAAATGTATGTCAATCACCCTAATGGGTAGATGTGTGAAGCCTAATGCTGAGTGCCCCGCGTGATGTTGCTGGTGAGCGAGCGAGCGAGCAGTCAGGTCAAGTCTTCGAACAAATGTATTCAAACCTAAGGATGTTTCCATCTGAGGCGTGAGCGAAGCGTCAGCGAGGCAAGTTAAATATTAACCTCCCATCGGGGTAATGTCAGCTATACAGCGACGAGAGACCATAGTTACGCATAAATGGCACATGCTGAAGAAAACACGAGCGATCGTCTTGAAATAGAACGGCATGCGCTTAGGTGCTTGTGTTTGTGTGTTTGTTGGTAGTATCTTGTACTCTTCCTGCCAGACTCATTTCAGTCATCTCAGGGGTTCAAAAAATATACCATTATTTGATTGCCCCGAAATGAAAACTGACTTGTCCCGGGCGTCGGGCAATGGGATTTTTTAACCCCTGCATCTCTATCGGACTTGGTACATTCGCATTTTCTACGTAAAACCACCTGACTATCAAATCACCTGCCCATATCTAATCAGCTTTAAGGAAGCATATCGGCATTTTCCCCATATCTATATCCACGGCCATGCCAGACGTAACCCAGCCGACGATAGTCACGCTGAGTGGTGTACCCCAGTTGATACCTAGCGGGTTGAAGCAGTATACTTCTCTTGAATTGCCGTTGAATTATACCTGATACTGATACAGAGGTGCATTATGTTTACTTAAATGAAACTTCTAAAGATACAGTGTATTCCCACATGTGCAGAAAATTCTGTTCCCCGAGAACTATGTCATACAGGGGGAGGTAACTCTACCCACCCAAAGTTGCCACTCAGTCGCTATCTTCCGATCAATCGCTGATCACATAACATAATATAGTGAGCGTGTATCGACCCCACACCTCTCGCTTACACTTCAAACAGGCTGCATCACGCAATATGAATAAGTAATACCCTGCCGTTATGTGGTTCTGTGAAGGACGCATCAACCAAGATATGAACTATCGTTAAGCCTGACGGGCGTGGGCTTAATGGCGAATTGCGTTAAATATGGAAACATTCTTTGTAGGGTTCTGAATTAAACTTCTACTTTGTAACACAGAAATGGATAAATAATTCTAACGATAACGTCCTTTCTGAATGACGTTCTGTTTGTGTCTGAAATTCCATTGAGTGTAGAGGAGTGAGGGTGTGACAATAACAGGGGACTTAGCATATCCCCCTGACGACTACTGTATGTGTACGTGACTAACGTCTTTATTAATAGTGATTATTCATGCATACGACAATGTCATGTTTGCGTGAATAGAAACATTTATTACGACGCCATTCGAACATGGATAGGTTACCAACGGTCAGAAATGGCTGGTTGTGTTTGCATTGAATACCAATGTGTTTCAATTGCAACAGACAGCAGCTGTGGAATATATGCACCTTGCTGGGTGACACTGTATGTTTCAAAGAACGTTTGCCGGAACTGTGAGATCGACACAGAGGGGCATTCCACACATTAGAGTTCGAGACAGCGGGGTTGCAGTTGATGAAGTTACAAGAAGGACTTAATTTCCATGACGAAGCCTTGTGAATCATTGATTACTTTAGTTTATAAACTATAAAATACATATAGGTAATGTTCGTGATGTAGGTAGAATACTGCATGCGTTGTACAACATTCACTCACTTAAACAGCGACACTTCTCAACACTATAACTTTGGAAGGGCTTTGTCGGCCTGTGATTGGTCAGTGTAAAGACCAATTTGAAGTCAATGTCGCCCCGAACCTACAAACACAGGGCATGTTAAGGTATCCCAAACCACACGGCCACGAACTCACTATCAGATGATACAACCTACTCATTAAGTCGGCACGTTAAGGTATTTCGAACCACACGGCCACGAACTCACTATCAGATGATACAACCTACTCATTAAGTCTCGCACGTGCATCCGTTAGTAGACGATCATGTCAGGTATGCCCATTTCCCCGTTATAAAAACACACCATGGTATGTGCGAGTGCATGCAATTAATAAAGCGAACAAACGTGTTTAATACTCGCTAACCTCATCAAATTTACTTTCAATGCGGGGCGAATTAAAAACCTATAAAATAGTACTGATATGTTCATTCGTTAACACAAAACCCTTTCCTTCAGATGAAATCTTTAGAAATTCCGTTATACCTACAGTTCATACAAAGGAGCCATTTTTATGGAGCCGTTTCAGTGTAGCTGCTGAATAAAAAACAATATGCCATCAGAGGAATTATTTTTGTCTCTTGCTTAAACATATATCAAATATATAATCTATGATACAATCAAGAAATAATTCTTCAAAATACTTTAAATGTCAGCAAGGAGCAAGACAAGGCGAAAAGCTGTCTCCTGCTCTGTTTTTCATCTTAGATAAAGACCTTCCTGACTATTTACAATAGCAGATTGTTATATGTACTTACAGATATTGTATTGTGAAAAGAAGCGACAAAATCCTTTCCACATCTAGAATAAATCTCTGCTAATTGCAGACTCGATTGTACAGCAATCAAATGGATTAAGCATACTTGAAAGGCCTTTTCCTAAACACATTAAATCAATTTTGTGATTTTGAAGTTTAAATGAAAGGCGCGAACCATAGGCTATTACTGAAACAGTACTATCTAAATGGGATGTGTTGTACATTTGTTTGAATCAGGTTTGGGATGACATTGATATCGCTTGTGCAAATGAGAATGACGAACCAGTCATTGCAGTAACTAGTGTCATTACATGCTGAAAACTTGTAACAAATTGAAACTGACTGAAAATATAAATAGCATTATCCTGTCATTGTGAGGTCGTGCACGTAAAACATGGTTTTTGTTTTCCTAAGGAGATTAAGATCTTGATGTATTAGACAGTTATGTATACTTAAGAATGAAACTGTTAAGAAACGAAAGAATGGGGTCCTGTAAATGCCAAAGTCAGGAAATGCTAAGGAAGCAATGGACTGACTGAATGACTGAGTTTAGTTTTACGCCGCTTTTAGCAATTTTCCAGCAATATCACGGCGGGGGAAACCACAAATGGGCTTCACACATTGTACCCATGTGGGGAATCGAACCCGGGTCTTCGGCGTGACGGCGAACGCTTTAACCACTAGGCTACCCCACCGCCACAGGAAGCAATGGACTGGACAGTCACAAAGTGTTGATATAATATCTTAGACTGTATAACATTTGCCTTGGATGTTTTGATAGCACCTCGGGTAGTGTATACAAATGTTTTGGTTTTGAAAATTTGAAAATAATTGAAAATGCACATCTAACGTTCCCAAAACTGATGGACCAAGAATGTCAAATGAATCCATCAAAGCTACATCTTCTCTGGGCAAAATGGCACTGTATCATCTACACGGAAGATCGTCACGGGACAGTTAGAGTGTATGAAATGTTGTATACTTATGTTATAATTACCTACATTTAGACATGTTTAAATAAGATTTTGTCAATTTTATAGAACATTTACTCAATTACCTTTAATTGTCTGAAATATTTGCCAACCCCTTTGAATGTGTAATTCTGCGGTTAGATTCTTCATTAGAACACGATCAGTGCCATACACAATGGAGAGATTAAAGGAAAACTAATTGCTGGGAACACTGTAAACACTAAATTTTGAAAATGCTTGTATATTTCAAAATCTATTTATCTACCAATTATACAACTGAAACCGCCTCCGTGGTGTAGTGGTTAGAGCGTCCGCCCGGAGAGCGGAAGGTCGCGGGTTCGATCCCCGACCGCATCATACCAAAAGACGTTAAAATATGGTACTTGTTGGTCCCTGCCTCGCGCTCGGCATTAATGGGTACAACAAGGACTGGTTGGTTCGGAGTCAGTATAATGTGTCTGAGTGGGGTATTCATGCTTCACTGCGGCATGGTATCTCCGTGGGCTAGCACTATAAAACCAGCTTCAGTCTGGGCTAGTACAAGCAGCCGCACATACACATACACACGCATGCACGTCGTCATATGAGCGAAATATTCTCAAGCACGACGATAAACCCAATTTCACCTCACCCCACACAACTGATAACATCAAATCATAACTTACAGACAAAAACTGCGAAGCGGCAAAAAATGTCAAGTACAATAGATTGTGATTATCACAACAGCACTGTACATACCCATCATTTACCTACACATTCTTTCCATGTATGGTTTGTAATGTCCTGCTCTTGGTATGTTAAGAAATACATAAATTTGAATTTGAAAGTGCGTGTGCAGAGACGAGAGTGTGAATACAGTTAATACTACTCCCCCGAACTGTATTGGACTGCACTGCATGTTCGCACGCACGCACACGCACACACGCGCACACACACGTAACCATCTGAATCTCTCCAATCAAATCTTAGCACAGTATTTCTCTTCTTTGATTTGATTTCATTGGATGGCTGTTTGTGCGGCAGGTATTAATCTCTATCAACAATGGCAATATTTAACTATTTAGAACTGAGCTATAATACACTTGATAATCGTGCATGATGTTTGTGCAGCCTCGTGGTTGGCATGTGCAGCCTCGTGGTTGGCATGTGCTACGACTAGTTATCTCCTCTTATCTCCAGTAAGAGTCAAGAAGAAAACAAACATATTACGTATCTAAACGGTAGCTTCTTGTGTCACTCGAGACTAGAACTGTACAAACATGAGAATGATATCCCGTTACCATGCGCTGCCACATCTCACCGACACACAAATACACATGGAATAAATCACTAGAACTCCCTACCCGTCAGCGACCCAAACAAATAGCGTCCACAATGCTGCCGAGTTCATGCTATGTATTGTGTGCACGTCACAGGGCAAGGTGTAAGTATCATGTTTACACAACACATAATATGAAGTAAACACAGAAACACGCACTTCCCACA